ATAAGCACGTATAATTAAAGCCAGTGAAACTCATCAGTACTTAGATATATGACTCTTTATGAATATAAAGCAATGTAAGCAGGACGTTGCCTTATGTCAGACTAATCAAAATTAAATAAATAAAGAGGAAATAGTTGCAGAATCTAAATATAACTTGAAAAAGCAGAAACATTTTGAAATTGACTCAAAAGAAACAGGTGGCATAATTCTTCTTAGCTCGATCAACTTTCTGATCAAAGTGGGCATCTTTGAGGAAAAATTAGCCAGGTAAGAGGAAATATACCACGTGTTGTCTTGGTGACAGATAAGTTCAACGTCGCCTTTTCAAGCTATATGAAAGATAAAATGTACTCTCGTTACGATTCATAGCTCGGTGCTGTTAGGAACCGACACATACTGCCAATATTTTGTGTTAATATTGAGAACTTTTGTACGGACGACGTGTTATTCCGATGATTAAATTATGAAATTACTGATCAATTATCCCAAATGAAAAAAACATATTGCATAATTTCTTAACCAATTATCCTATAACGAGAAATTAAATTTGACGCACTTGAAATCAATCAGGAATGATAATGTTTGGTTGATTTTGTTTAGCGGTATGGATTATTACCGAAATTTAAATATTTTGAACATTTTATGCTTTCAACTACAGGTAAAATGTATTATTGGTCATTTGTCTATAAAATATGTTGTTGGTAATCCTACCATAAAATGCATTGCTGGTCATTTTTGGTAATTTTACTATAAATTACTATTGCTGGTATTATGAGTAGGTGGCCGCGTTTGCATTCTGACCATGAGACCCGGGTTCGAATCTTACCATTTGTCAGATGTTATCGGACTTTGGAAAGTGCCTGAAAACAATACTACAGGTTAACCCAACCCTTGTGAATGAAATTGGGTAGACGGAACTCTTAGGAGCCGTCGATAGCTGTGCTAGAAGGAAGTCATAAGTCATCGTGGCTGAGGGCTTGAACGTGCTGGCCTTGTTCAAACATTGAACAAGGTAGATAACACGTACTTTCCCAGAAACTGCAACTAAGGTCTGCTCAGCATAGTTGCAGTATAAACCACAGGTGGGCTCTGTGGGTGTTGAATAAACACAAATGCGCCTGAGTAAGCGTCTGCAATAACGATTGGCTAGCCGCTCTAGTAGATGGGTGGCCAACTATACATATACTATTGTTGGTAATTTTACTATAAAATGTATTTTTATATTTACGCAGTTATTTTTTGGAGGTTCACTATTTGCCCATAGCTGAGACCAAGAAGCCCGGGAACAACTGCAATTAAGAAACCCTTCAATCTTCAGACCAGTGGCCTTGCTGCCGGATGTAGTTTATCGTCATACCCAAGACTACAGGAATGGAATACAAATAACTTTTAAGTCATTACTTATTTTCGATACTCGCTGACGTAGAATAACGTAAGGTTAAATGTGTTTGCCAGTCTTCCAGATAAAGGTGTGTCACTTAAGAAAATCAACATTCAGCTTACTAATAACATATATGAATATGAACATTAGGGTGCTGAAAATTTCACTGTCTGATCAAGATGACATTCCTCTAAAATATCTTTCTTGGTCATTTGGTCAGATTTTGGAAGGAAGTCTAGTCGAGAAATTTTCAAAATTCCTTCGTAAAAATATCTACACTCATAAGAGATATTTATATACAGATAACACATTGATGCAAGATATATATAATAAAACTCTACATGTATAAACGTATCTATATAATACTAAATTTCTCTGATTCGTGCGTGCACGCGCGTGCGTCATCCGTACGGCGCATAATTTAAGTTTCTTTCAACCTCTCTTTCCACGTCTCTCATTCCAACTTTCTCTTTTCATATTTCTCATTCCACCTCTGTCTTTCCATTTCGCTCTTTCCACCTCTCTCATTCCACCTCTCTCAATCCACCTTTCTTATTCCACCTCTCTCTTTCCACCTCTCTTTTTCCACCTCTCTCATTCCATCTCTCTCTTTCTACCTTTCTCTTTTCACCTCTCTCTTTCCACTTCTCTCATTCCACCTCTTTCTTTCCACCTCTCTCATTCCACCTCTCTCTATTAACCTCACTTATTCCACCTCTCTCATTCCACCTTTCTTATTCCACCTTTCTCTTTCCATCTCTCTCATTCCACCTCTTTTTCCGCCTCTCTCTTTCCAACTGTCTCATTCTACCTCTCTCTTTCCACCTCTTTCTTTCCACCCTTCTCTTTTAACCTCACTTATTCCACCTCTCTCATTCTACCTCTCTCATTCCACCTTTCTCTTTCCATCTCTCTCATTCCACCTCCTTTCACGCCTCTCTTTCCAACTGTCTCATTCTACCTCTCTCTTTCCACCTCTTTCTTTCCACCCTTCTCTTTTAACCTCACTTATTCCACCTCTCTCATTCTACCTTTCTCAGTCCACCTCTCTCATTCCACCTATCTCATTCCACCTCTTTTTTCCACCTCTCTCATTCCAACTATCTTACATATCTATAAGTCTATCATTCTTCAATACTTAGAATATTGCTGCCATATATGATCTGGTATCCCTGCCATTTATTTTGTGATCCTTGATAAGATCCAAAGAAGAATCAGCAATATTATTGGTTCTGATCTGGCAGCTCGGCTTCAGTCACTTTCCCACCACTGTAAGTTTTCCTACCTGTACCTTTTCTATAAATACTTTCATGGTAATTGTTCGGATGAGCTGTTCGCTATGGTATCGAGGCTTTATGAATTTGCGACTTCTTACTCTTCCATGGACTTTTTAATAATGAAAACACCTCATATGGAAACGTAAGCACTTCTCGGTATGTTGAGTTTCTCCTCAATAAAAAGCTACACATGTCCAATATTATACATATAAAGTTTCTGCTATATCTTTCAACAATTTTTCTTCTGTGTGTTGTGTTCCTTCAGGTCGTTGGCGACCACGGCTATCCACTACTCCTTATGGATAAAAATGTTGGTTAGATCCAGTGACTAGACCCAAAGAGTATTAACAAACAGATAATTTTCGTTATAAACAAAGAAAAGAGCACTGAAATTTTACGTGATATCTGTCCTTTATGGCAGCGAATGTTGGACAATCTCCTCAAAGATTCAGAAGAGACTTGAAGCAACAGAAATGTGGTTCTACAGAAGGATGCTGAGGATACCATGTGAGCAATAACGAGGTTTTTGGAAAAAATGTAAACAAAAAGGAAACTTATACTTAAAATCAGGAAGAGGCAGTTTAAATGTCTGGACCACGTAATGAGGAAGGAGGGCTTGGAAATTCTGATACTCAAAAGACAGATTGAAGGAAAAAGAAACATAGGAAAGCAGCGTTAGACATACTTGATGGGCTTGAGCAAATGGATGTCGGAACAGGGTTTGGGAGAAATAACAAAAAGACAAAACTTATTAAGAATTACAAAGGATAAGAAGTTGTGGAGGGCCATGACTGCCTACGTCCTGAAGTGACACGGAACATAAAAGAAGAAGAATGTGTTATCGCTGGAAATCTTCGAGATGCTACCCGAAAATAATAAAACTGAATTGATGACCAAATGAAATTTGTCGAAACTTGTCCCTAATATAATGTAATTGAAAGAGTAAGGTAAAAAAAATTAAAAAAGTAAAAGGAAGGCAATTTTCATCCTCGATGCGACAAGACATAGAAACGATGATGTTATGTCCGAACGTAACACTATTTCAAAGGAACGCGTGAGATTATGACAAAATGAAGAAAGAAAAAATAATGTATGACATTAGAAATTAACTACAAAAGAAATCCGTAATTACAAAGTCACGGAAATGAAATTACAAAACCTCCTGCAGTAGGTAGCGGCGGAGAGTGAGAAGAAGGGACTAAGCATAAACTAAAAAAAAAAAAAAACGGACTGCATGGTCGTCAGTAAGAGGATGATCCTGAAATTCGATTTGCTGGTCGGGAACACTAGAATCAAGCAGACGCGGAAATTTAAATATCTGGGAAGCGTCTTGACAGAGGACGGTAAGTGCGACACTGAGATCCGAAGACGTATTGGGATGGCCAAGGAAAAATTCCAAAATCCGGGCAGAGTATTGCGAGAGAGGAAGATTTCTTTGGTAACAAAGAAAAGACTACTGAGTTGCTACGTGACATCTGTCCTCCTTTACGGTAGTGAATGTCGGATGGTTTCCTCAAAGATGAAGAAGAGACTCGAGACAGCGGGGGTATGGTTCTGCAGAAGGATCCTAAGGATAACATGGACCGAGCGTGTGAGCAACGATGAGGTTTTGGAGAGGATGCAAACTAGGAGGAAGCTTATAGTTAACATCAGGAAGAGCTAGCTGAAATTTCTGGGACACTTAATGAGAAAGAAGGGCTTGGAGAATCTGATACCCACAGGGTGAATAGAGGAAAAGAGAGACAAGGGAAAGCAACATATGACATACCTACCGGACATAAGGAAGTGGATGACAGGACAGAGCCTGGGGGAAGCAACAAAGGGACAAAACATTGAGAGATGAAGGTGGATGGAGTACTGTGAAACAGGAGGATTACTTTGGTAAAAAAAGAAAATAATACTGAACTATTACATGACATCTGGTACTCTTTTACGGCAGCAAATATTGTATTCAAAGATTCAGAAGAGACTTGAAGCAACAGAAACGTGGTTCTACAGAAGGATGCTAAGGATATCATGGACCGAGCGTGTGAGCAACGACGAGATTTTAGGTTGCAAACAAGGAGCAAGCTTATACTTAATATCAGGAAGAGGCAGCTGAAGTATCTGGGACGCATAACGAGGAAGTAAGGCCTAGAGAATCTGATACTCACGGGTCGAATAGAGGGAAAGAGAGGCAATGGAAAACGACACGTGACAGACCTGGCAGACTTAAGCAAGTGGATGACAGAACGTGGTCTGGGGGAGGAAACAAAGGGAAGGAAGTTGTTGAGAGCTGCAAGGGATAGAGGGAAGAGGAGAGTCATAATCGTCTACGTCCTGAAAGGACATGGTACATAAACAGAAAGAATTACAAAGTGAATTAAGCAAAATCGAAGTGTCGCGCGACGCACCTACAGACCAAGATGGTGGTAAATAAAAGATTTATCAGAAAGAGGCTGAGAAGGCGAGTATTGAACGAAGGATAAGTTGTTGAATTTTGGAGAACAGGACAAAATAAAAACTTTCATTTGTTGGTTATATATAACTAGTAGTAGTTTAATACAATATATAAAAATAAAGCCCTTAAATAGGTTCTTGTCCTGGGTATGACAATAAACTACATCCGCGTCCTGGGTAAGACGATTAACCACGTCCAATAGCAAGGCTTCTGATCAGGAGATTTTGATGAGCGTGGAAAAACCTTTTAATTGCCGGTGTTCACAGATCCACCCTGACCTGTTGTGGTAGCACCTGTTAGGTTCCTAGCCATGGGCAAATAGTTAACACCCAAACTTGTGTAAAAATAGATTTTAATACCAGAAATAATTTGTAATAAAAATAATTATTACCAGCAATAATGTTTGAAGGAAAAATTATCAGAAATAATTTTAAAAAATACCAGCAATACAAACAGTCTTTGAAAAAAATATAACCAGCTTCTTCAAGGAAAAATATTTCCAGAAATAGATTTTTGAAGAAAAACATTTCCAGCAATAAAAATTTTGTCGGCATTAAATAACCCATTGATACTGATATGTCGTTAAACAAAACTCAAAACAAACCAGACCCTTAAATAAGTTCAGATCATCATACTGGAGACGCTATATTGTAGTCTTTTGTGACACTTTTTTTTATCTTAAAATTCACAGCATAGAGAAAAATCTACGAGTAAATTTCTATCACATTTTTGATACGATTATTTTGAGGGTCCTTTTTTAATTCCTTCTTTCTTGCTTAGGTGCCATACATGAGGCATAATTCAATGATCATATCTCTTCTCGATTCATGATTGAATTGGCAGAAGAATACCCGCAGTTTAGCTGCCGTTACTTTCTGCCATATATTGGTTTACAACCGAGTCTGACTTGATATTTAACCCATAATTTGGGGGAAACAATATGGATTCCTGTCTTTCACAAAGCTATTTGCACGTAAGTTAAAGTAACAAACCTCACTGAGATTCGAAATCGGCTGTCCGATTTCTGATTTCGAACCGTTGCTCATTACGCACCCATCACATCTTAGTTACTGGCATTCCCAAGCGGTCACCTATCTACTTACTAAGCAGGTTCGACGTTGCTTACCTTAGGTGATCGGACTCGAGCGTGATATGGATGTAAGGCTCCCCTTTTCAATATTTATGCTAAAATAACCATTAACTATTACTTTCGAAAATTATTCTATTTATTTACTTAATATCAGCGTTGTTACATTTTTTTATCGATTTAGCTCTTTTAAAAGTAGTTTTAAAAGTCAGAACCCTATCAAGCACTGTATGTTGTGTGAATTCAGGAAAGATGCTTAAGCAACAGAGGAGGCAAGAAATATTAATTCTTTCTATGGAGATGTAGTTTTAAGCGCTCGGACATGCTCACAGTTGTTTGGTCAGTCTCGATCGGTAGATTTTTTTCTCGAAGATTTCTTCGATTTGGACAACTAAGTTTTATCAATATTTGTCGAGGAAAATCATAAACTGCACTGGACGAGAATACAAATACAAATGACACTTCAATCCTAAATCACCTTCATGAACGCGTAAAAAATAGTCTATGCTTGTCCAATGGTTCCTCAAATCACCTGACTGCTTCTCAGATTAATCAAAGTATTGCGCTGTTGTTGACATTGAAGAGGAGTGTGGAATCATCAAAGGTGATGCAAAGTCGATTATCTATAATCATAGCCAGCAATTTTCAGCACTCACTGAAAAAGGCGAATCTAACCAGGATTTGATTTGTTTAACAGCACATAGGTTATTTAATTCCGAAATTTAATTTTCTTGGGAGCTTTTAAGTAATAAAAAAAAATATGATACAGGGTGTGTTGGATAAATTGTCGTCTAAATTAAGCAAAAATGAAAATAATACTGACATCTCATTTTAACAGGTATATTAATCATATTTGCACAAAATATCTTGAAATACTCAAGAGTAAATTTATTCAATAAAATCGGCATTGGCTTCAACCACGGCCACCAGAAGACTTCGGAATCTTCTGCAACTCTTCTGGATGATTTCTTTCTTTAAGTGATGAATACTGGCATAATCGCTGCCTTCAGTTCATCTTCGGTGTTACAAAGAATTATTACCAGCAATGACTTTTTGAAGGAAAAAATTATTACCAGCAATATATTTTTACGAGCAATATATTTTTGAAAATAAATATATATAACCAGCAATATATTTTTGAAGGAAAACAATTACTAGCAATACATTTAAAAAAAAGTATTACCAGCAATACATTTTTGAAGGAAAAAATATTACCAGTAATACATTTTTAGAAAAAAAATATTACGAGCAATAATTTTTTGAAGGAAAAAAATATTACCAGCAATAAAAATCTTGTCGGCATTAAATTGAGGTT